GTGAGTGGCAATATAAAGATCGCAGAGCTATGAAGAGAGGCAGAGCAGGCAGGTGGGTAGAGTCCAGGTTTTATCTGGCATGCAAACTGAATTAAAGTAGAAGTCTTTCTATACTTCTTGTTCATTATTTGTTTTTTGTTGTTTATTTTGCAGTCCTGGGGATTGAACCCAAGGCCTACCACATGCTAGGTAAGAGCTCTACCACTGAACTACATCTCCAAATGTGTTGGTTTTGAAACAGGGTATCACTAAATTGCTGAGGCTGGCCTTGAACTTGTGATCCTCCTACCTCAACTGTGATTACACCATACCCAGCTCCTGAAGTCTGTCCTTCTAAATTCTCAGTATGCTCCAGTCCAGGAGACTATGGATTAGTGAAAAGTCTGTTTTGCATTTTCACACAGTAGGTTGATCACCTCCCCAACGCTAAAGTACCTCTCACTCTACCCTTCAAGATATCGGAACTTAACACTCAATTTTGAAGTATTGTGGGTGCCGGAAAAGAGTCACACACAATAAAAATTAAAAAATCTACCCAAGTCCAAATGGCATGAACTAGCTACACACAAAGAGAGAAGAGGCCCCTGTGGATTGAGGATTATTAAATATGAAGTATGTTTGTCAGGAAAAAACTTTGTTTATATAAACATTAGAAGCGCCGCCATGGTAACTCTGCTTGGTTTACTCGGCAGCCCAGTATGGCCTCACAGCCAAATTACTGCCTGCTTTTTCACTGCCTGCCTACATTTTTTAAAAAACATCTCTAGCCAAAATTCCATGATCTGCCTGCTTGGTTTCCAAGCTCAGAAAATATCATTTAAAAGTACCAGGGAACCAAAAGAAACTTCTGCCAAAGCTTCTAAATGAAAGCTCATTTCACACACACACACACACACACACACACACACACACACACACACACACACACGTTTTTGCCAAACTACAGTATGCTTTTCTTTTTTAATGTGACCCAAGTTTCCTTAGGCCTCATAAGGTTGCAGGGCCAATAAAATAACATTAACATATGAGCAATGGTAACTCATATTCCATTCGTTCTAGGTTTTTCTCCCACCTGCTCACAAAAGCTGTGAGCCTCCTAGAAGTGCCCCTGAGTAGCTTAGGGGTGTGCTTAGATGCAGCCTACTATATCCACTGCCAGCGACAGCAAGGCCTAGCTCAGAAGAGATGTCCACTGGCTTCCCCCATCACCTCCAAGCTCTCCCTACCAGTCAGGGCATTTGGTTTGTGTGAGGCATTTGGTATGTGAAGAGCACCTCTCTATCCTTTGTGTCACATTCAATTAACATATCCCAAACCAAGCTGTGGTGCCTCCTATCTTATTGGCTTTTTCACTAGGAGATCTCAGTTTACTCACATGCCCCTGCCCTATAAAGAAACCAGCCATGAATTCAAGGGCTAGTCCAGGTGCTGGCTGGACTCCGGATTGCACTTCCCGTCAGCAACTAAGGGTCAATGTGTCATGTCTGCCCCTTAGGAAGCCATTCATGCCCTCACCCAAGGAACCTTCTAGTTAGCCTAGCTGTCTCATTCAGTTAAGTCTGTACCCACTTATCCCCAGTTAGAGATCCTTTGTCCATGAGAGGAGAGAGACCACTAGAGAAAGCAACAGCGACAGCTACCCTCTCTGTGTGGCCGTCTGAGGCAGCTGAGAAGACCTGGGCCTGAGCACTGGGGGAAAGGATTGCTCCACTCCAAGGGAAAAGCAAATTGACATCAGATTATTTTCCTACAGCTTTTCCCACTTCTTAATATTTGCCACATTGCATTCCACATTCCAATTTTCAAAAGGACAGGAGCATTAATAATATAAAAGAAAGAAGTGAAATTAACTGGAATCAAGAACTTTATTATTTTCAAGTGTAAAAAAKCATGAGATATATGGCTGAGCATCAAGTATAGCTTTGACCTGAAATGTTCTCTTAGAGATACCAGGGGAACAGCCTGGCTTAGAACCAGACCTGCAGGGATACTGTGACACTTCAATAAATCAAATTAAAGTTATTTATTAAGTTGGGTCGGATTTCGGATTTCTCAGTTTTTCTTACGTGGCTTGCTGTCGTTTTTGCTTTCTTTTTAAAGGTTTCTAGATTTCTTCATTTAATAGAGAATAAGGCCTTCTCCCTCAATTACCTACTTCCCATTCGGATCTGCTGAGTTTTAACTTCCATATGTTACTCATATTAGAACACTAAAAGTCCATTTATAAATATTCATTCAGGTAATAACTGTTTAAGAGCTTCAAGGCCCCAATTCATTATCTCTTTTTGATATCAGCTCAGGCTTCAATTCACACATTTCCAATTTAACTGAGGGTAGAGAGAAAGAAAAAAAATTACTTTTGGAGAAAAGCAAGTTGACTTATCCTGGTGTTTCAAGCCAGCATCCCAGTAAAAACTGATACCTCTCTTTAGTTCTAGTACCAGTTGAGGAGTAGGGAGAAAGACACTGAACATTTTTTAACATAGATCAGGACTTCTATATCATTACTTTCTTGAAAGTGCTGTGCATACATAAGCAAGGTACTTTTGCACTTCTTTCACTGAGACCCAGATCTGCAGGGGCACACAGCACTCCTTCCTCCCATGTGAAGCTTCAAACACTACACTTGAGCGGTTTCGGGCCATGCATGTAAAGAGATAAATGGTTCCTGAGCATTTTAAAGAATACATCCCCATCCCCACCCCAGGAAGACAAAGAATTGTGGCTCCTATGTATTCTTGCCTAAGGTTGTACAATGGGCCCAAAGAAGCTATGTGATCTCAAGCTGATGTTTCTGTCACCTACATCTAGCTTCTCTTTGGTAATTGCTGAAAATTCATATTCCTGCACCCCCATCATCTGAATCATAATCTCTTTTGTTGACTGGGGAATCTTTTTGTTTGYTTCTTTGTTCTTTTTAGACATGCATGACAGTAGAGTATTTTTTCTGTTTTTTTTTAAATTGTTAGTGCATGCTAATTATTCAGAATAGTGACTTTTATTATGACATATTCATACATGCATATAACTTTTTTGTTCTTTTTAGATATACATGACAGTAGAGTATATTCTGACATATTATACATACATGAAATATAAGTTTTTCTAATTAGGATCCAATTATTGCAGTTGTACTTGATGTGGAGTTTCACAGGTAGTGTATTCATATGTGAACATAGGAAAATTATGTCCGATTCATTCTACTGTCTTCCTTATTCCCATTCCCTCTACTTTCCCTTCCTTCCCCTTAGTCTAATCCAATGAGCTTGACTGGTGTTTTTTTGGTTTTTGTTTTTTTTTTTTTTATACCAGGGATTGAATTCAGGGGTACTCAATCACTGAGCCACATCCCCAGCCCTATTTTGTATTTTATTTAGAGACAGGGTCTCACTGAATTGCTTAGCACATCACTTTTGCTGAGGCTGGCTTTGAACTCATGATCCTCCTGCCTCAACCTCTGGAGCCATTGGGAATTAGAGACATGCGCCACTTTGCCCAGCTTGACTGGGAATCTTCACTTTTTTTTAAGATGGGGTCTCACTGTGTTGCCCAGGCTGGCTTCAAACTCTCTATCCTCCCATCTTAGCCTCCAAAGTAGCTGGGATTACAAGCATGCATCATCACATTCAGAGGAATCTTTACTTTTTTAGCAGATTCCTCTGGCACATTACTATTTGAGAGTTACTTCACCAAGTTCTAAAAGRAAACTAAAGAAGACAAAGTAGCCTTTTTTTTTTWTTTTGCAAGGTTATWCTCTTCTGGGAAACAACAGAGATCAGGATACCAATAAGATCCTTTAAGAGTTATGGTTGTGTATATTTAATCCCAAATTCATATTACTAAGTGGTATCAAGCCATTCATCAAGCCATGAAAGCAGAAAGCAATTCTGGACTGATAAGAGTCTTAGACTCCTCACAGAAACAAACACAAACTCTCTCTAAAGAAAGGAGTATGAGCCTCAAAAAATTCCCCTAGGTAATTTTCCACAAAACCCACCATCAAAATTTAAAAAGCACACAAAGAAACAAGGCACCAGGAACAAATATTAACAGAAACAACAGACAACCTGGATATTGGAAATATCAAATAGAGACTTTAAAATAACTCTGCATAGCCAAGCACCGTTGTTCACACCTGTAATCCTAACAACTCTAGAGGCTGAAGCAGGAGGATCACAAGTTTAAGGCCTACCTTAGCAAGATCCTGTCTCAAAATAAAAAGGGTTGGGAATGTAATTCAGTGGTTCAATCCCCAGTATTGAAAAAAATAAAGTCTGATATCTAAATAGCTGCTGTGGGAACCAAGAGACAATATGCTAAAAATAAAAAATAATAATAACTGCCACCTAGAGTTTAAAGTCCATTAAAATAAAGACATACTTGAACAAGCAAAACTAGTTTGCCTCTAGCAATCTGTCATTAAGGAACATCTAAGAAAGTAATCCCAGACAAATGTATAAGAAGCAGGAGAAATAAAGACAAATGTGGAAAAAATCTAAATAAACATTGTACAAAACAATACTTCTGTGATGTCAAATAATAAATATAATTTATATCTTATTAACATGAGTATGGAAGAGAGAAATGAGGCTTAAATTCTATAAGGTCCTTTCATAGTCTAGAAGGAGGATAACCACATAGATTAACTTCAGACTTTGATACCTCATGTCTGAATATTATAATTTCTACAGTGACCTAGAAAAGAGCACAAACAATGCACAGCATTCAAATAGGAGGGAAATGGATTGATGAAAAGCATTTAATACAAAAGAGGTAAAAAAAAAAAGAGGAAAAAGAAACAGGATTAGCAGATCAAACAGAAAGCACACAATAACATAATAGATACAAACCTAAATCATTTTTAATATAAATGGACTGTGTTCCATTTAAAGGCAAACACTTTTAAATTGCATTTTTAAAAATCCAATAAGATACTGTTTACAAGAATTTATATCTAAAATAAGGATTCAAAGTTTGAAAATTAAAAAATGAAAAACAATGCTTGCTTCAGCGGAACATATACTAAAATTGGAACGATACAGAGAAGATTAGCATGGCCCCTGCACAAGGATGACACACAAATCTGGTAAACATTTCATATTTTTTAAAAAGCTTCTTTTCAGCCAAAGAGATAATCAGTGAGGTGAATAGAGAGCCTACAGAATGGGAGCAAATTTTTACCTCTCACACATCAGATAGAGCACTAATCTCTAGGATATATAAAGAACTCAAAAATCTTAACACCAAAAACACAAATTACCCAATCAATAAATGGGCCAAGGAACTGAACAGACACTTCTCAGAAAGTGAAGTACAATCAATCAACAAATACATGAAAATATGCTCATCATCTTTAGCAATTAGAGAAATGCAAATCAAAACTACTCTAAGATTTCATCTCACTCCAGTCAAAATAGTAGCTATTAAAAATACAAACAACAATAAGTGTTGGTGAGGATGTGGGGAGAAAGGCACACTCATACATTGCTTAGGGGACTGTAAGTTGGTGCAACCAATATGGAAAGCAGTATGGAGATTCCTTGGAAAACTTGGAATGGAACCACAATTTGAATCGGCTATCCCACTCTTCAATTTGTACCCAAAGGGCTTTTAAAAAGCATATTACAGGGACACAGTCCCATCAATGTTTATAGCATCACAATTCACAATAGCTAAATTGTGGAACCAATCTAGATGCCCTTCAGTAGATGAATGGATAAAGAAAATGTGGTATACATACACAATGGATATTACTCAGCATTAAAAGAGAAAAAAATCATAGCATTTGCAGGTAAATGGATGGATTTGGAGAATATAATGCTAAGTGAAGTAAGCCAATCCCAAAAAAGCAAATGCTGAATATTTTCTGTGAAATAAGGAGGCTGATTCATGGGGATGGTGGAGGGGGGATCATGGGAAGAATAGATGAAATTTAGATAGGGCAAATTGGAGGGAGGGGAAGGGAGGGTGTATAAGTGAAGGAAAGATGGTGGAATGAGATGGACATCATTACCGTATGTACATGTATGAAGACATAAATGGTGGGACTCTACTTTGTGTACAACCAGAGACATGAAAAATTGTGCTGTATATGTGTAATATAAATTGAATTTGTATTCTGCTGTTATATATAACAAACAAATATATATAGTTTAAAAAATATTAAAAACTCATCATAGATTCTTTGGGAATTTTCATTTTCAATCATTTGCCTTGTACTAGGTCCCTATAAACATGGGCGTTATTTGCTCTATGGCAAATTTTACAAACGTGGAAAATAATTTCAGTGTTTACAACTTTAGCAATGTGTATTTTCTATAAATTTTTAGAGTATTTTCTTTCCAGATTTTTCTTTATGCACTGTTCTGCTCATAATCAACAGCTTCTGGGTATCATTTTATCAATTTCTGTAACTTTCATTTAACATGATATACTAATGATAATAATGAAAAATGATAAAATATCCACTTCAAAAAAATAAGTATCAAGCAATTAAACAGAAGGAAGTTGATGTGACTATATTCTTATCCAAGAAACTACGTTTTAAATTAAAAATTATGAGTAATGAATTAAAAGGGTCCTTTATAAGAAAAAATTTCCAAAGCATCAATAACAACTTTAAATGTGTATGCATCTAAATATAATATTAAAGTGTATGAAGCAGAGAAAATATATAAAATAGTAATATGAGAAGAAAAAACAATTCCACAATCATAATAGAATATATTAAAACACCTCTCTCAGTAATTGACAGAACAAGAAAAAACATTAATGTCGATATATATGATTTGAAGAACACAATTGTAAAATGACCTCATGGGCATATATAGAACACTATTCCCAGCATCAGCAAAATACCCATAATAAATTCAAACACACAGAGAAAACTTGAAAAAACTGACCACATACCACACTGAAAGCAAGTATCCAAGAGATTTAAAAGATTAAAATAATCCAGAGCACATTCTCTGACCATACTAAATTTCAGTAACAAAGAAATAACTAAAACCATATGCCTAAAAATTAAGAAACACTTCTAAGTAATCCATGAGTCAAAGAAAAAGTCATAATGGAAATAAGAAAATATTTTGAATTTGAATGGCTCAAATATTATATATCAAACATAAAGCAACTCATAAAAGGAAATTTACAGCCTAAAAATGACCAAATTTAGTTTATCTCAGGAAGGCAATGTGATTCATAATACGATCACTTTAATAAATGCAGAAAAAGCTTTTGATGAAYTTATGCAGTCATTGAGAATTTAGAAATGAAAAAAAATATAAACTCTTAGAAAGCATGAAAAGGAAAAGATTAAAAACACAGCAAACCAAAAAACTTCTGGGGGGACTGGAGTTGTGGCTCAGTGGTAGAGCACTTACTTGCCTAGCATGTGTGAGACACTGAGTTTGATTCTCAACACCACATAAAAATAAAATAAAGGTATTGTGTCTGTCTACAACTAAAAAAAATATTTAACAAAAAACTATTTTTTTTAATGTGTGAGGATTAGAAGGGAAGAAACAAATCTGCTAGTATTCACAGGGAATATGATTCTGCACATAGAAAAACTCATTCGAATTAGTGAGATTAGTAAAGTTGGAGCAAATAAAAAAATCAAGTTAAAATTTTTCATTGTATTTTTTATACCAGTGACAAAGAGCTGGAAAATGTATTTTTTAAGGGACATCATTTATAAGAATAACAAAAGATATCAAATTGTGTTGGGGGTGTAGTTTGATGGAAGCATGCTTTCCTAGTATGCTTGAGGCCCTGGGTTCCATCCCCAGTTGGCGCGTGGGGGGGGGGATCAAACACATGGGAATAAATATAACAAGATGAACAAAAGATGAACAAAGCTTCTGAATTGTTTCCTGTGGCTCTTATAACAAATTCCCACAAATTTCRTGGTTTATAACAAGAGATTATTCTTTCAAAGTTCTGAAGGCTAGAAGTCTGAAATCAGTATCACTGAGTAGAAACCAAGGTAATGGCAGGTCCCCAATCCCTCTATCAGCTCGATAAGAAATCCATTTATTGTCTTTTCAACTTCTAGTGGCTGCTGGAATTCTTTGGTTTGTGGTCTCCAATCTCTGCCTTCATAGTCAAATAGCCTTTTCTTCTTCTGTATCAATCTCTTTATATCTCCTCTATTATGACACATACAAGCCCTAAACAATAAAATAATAAAACAGGATACTCATCTTAAAATCTTTAATACTACCACATGTACAAAGACTCTTTTCCAAATAAAGTAACATTTATAGGGACAGGGATTCACACATAATATCTTTGGATGTCATTATTTAGCCTTTGTGGATTAAAATTATAGAAATATAGTTATTAATGGCTGGGCACAATGGCACACAACTGTAATCTCAGAGGCTTGGGAGACTGAGACAGGAAAATCACGAGTTCAAAACCAATCTCAGCAATGGCGAGGCAACTCAATGAGATTCTATCTCTAAATAAAATTCAAAAAGTCCTGGGGATGTGGCTCAGTGGTCAAGTACCCCTGAGTTCAATCCCTGGTATCATAAAAAAGAAAAAGAAAAAAAAGAAATATGGTCATTAATGAGAATTAAATAAGCAGAGGTGTACTCAAACCATGTACATAGCCTGGAAGACTCAATGTTTAGCACTGTCAATTCCCATATTCATCTACAAAATTAATACAATCCCAATAAAAATCTCAGTAGTTGTGCAACTTGACAAGTTGTTTCTAAAATTCCTATATAAATTCAAAAATCTAGATATTCTTGAAGAACAATGAGCTGCCCTGCCAGATATCAGGGTTTTCCATAAAGTTATGTAATTTCTGTTAATCAACTTTTCCCCTTCTGTGACTAAAAGATCTGAACAGAGCAATTTTAAGGAAGACAAGTTTATTTGAGGGCTCATGGTTTCAGTGGTCTTAGTCCATAGAAGGTTGGCTCTATCCCTCTGGGCTCAAGGTGAGGCAGGACACCATGGCAGAAGAATGTGGCAGAGGAAAGCAGCTCATGTGATGATCAGGAAGCAGAGAGATAGATCTCCACTTGCCAGATATAAATATATACCTCAAAGCCACACCCCCATGTCCTACCTCCTCCCACCACACACCACCTGCCTCCAGTTACCRCTCAATAAATCCCATCAGGTGATTAATGACTGGGTTAAGGCTTTCACAGCCCAATCATTTCTCCTCTAAAATTTCTCCCACTGTCTCAGACATGAGCTTTTGGGGGACACCTCACATCTAAACCACACAATTGCTGACAGTGCTGAATTGGTGCAGAGATTAATAGGCAAACGAAATAGATCTGCTCTTGTAAACCCTTGGTATGAGAAGTGACACTGCAGAGAAATCGGGAAAGGCTGGGTTTTTAAATAAATAGTGCCGGGAAATAGGGTATCCACATTTCAAAAAGTTAAAGTGAATCCCTACCTCACCCCAAACTTAAAATCAATTCTAGGCAAATTGAAAATACAAGGAGTTTTAGAAGGTACTATAAGAGAATATGTTTGATTTAGGAAGAAGGATTTCTTTCTTATTTTTTTCTTTTTTAATTTTTATTTATTTATTTATTTATTTTTGGTACTAGGTATTGAACCCAGGGGCACTCAACCACTGAGCCACATCCCCAGCCCTTTTTTATATTTTATTTAGAGACAGGGTCTCACTGAGTTGCTTAGGGCCTAGCCAAATTTCTGAGGCTGGCTTTGAGTTTACAGGCTTTCACCACTGGGCCCAGCAAGATTTATTAAACAAGTATATTAGGTTCTCCAGGGAAACAGAACCAACAGAATATATTATAATTTATAAACGTGGATTTATTATATTGACTTTCAAGATCAAGCAAATAGTACTACAATGGCTACCTACAGGCCAGAGAACTCGAAAAACCAGTAGCTGCTCAGTCTGGAAGCCTTGGAACAAAAGGGACTGATAATGCAGCCCTAGTCTGAGACTGAAGGCCTGGAAGCTTCCTGGAGAGTCACTTGAGGCCCTGGGTTCCATCCCCAGTAGTTGGGGGGTGGGGGCAGGGATCAAACACATGGGAATAAATATAACGAGATGAGCCTGCCTTCAAAGGCTGAGGACTCTGGAGTTTGATGTTAACAA